GAACTAGGGGCCACCAAATGAAACTAATGGGCATCAAGTTTAAAAAATAAAAGGAAGTTCTTCTTCACACAGCACATAGTCAATCTGTGGAACACCTTGCCTGAGGAGGCTGTGAAGGCTAGGACTATAACAGGGTTTAAAAGAGAACTAGATAACCTCCATGAATCTAAGTCCATTAATGGCTATTAGCCAGTATGGGTAAGGAATGGTGTCTCTAGCCTCTGTTTGTCAGAAGGTGGAGATGGATGGCAGGAGAGAGATCGCTTGTTTATTACCTGTTCGATTCACTCTCTCTGGGACACCTGGCATTGGCCACTGTTGGCAGACAGGGTACTGGGCAGAATGGACCTTTGCTCTGACCCAGTATAGCCGTTCTTATGTACGGTGTTGGGCGGGGGGAGGAGAGCCAGCTTAAAAGTCGGTTCCCCAGCACCGTCTCCATGGTGCTCCTCTGCTGCCTGTATCAGAGGCAGGCCGGAGGGGGGAGAGGGGAGGCGACATCAGGGGAGGCTGCTCAGGGGGCCCCTCCCCGCAGACAGGAAATGCTGCTGCCAATTGTATTGACTACACAATTAGCCAGATAACCACAATTTAACATCCTTAGTCTATACAGGGAAAGCCCCACTTTTCTGGACAATTGAGAGGGTGATGTCTGACCTGAGGAACCATTCATGACAGAAGGAAGACTGACTGAACTGATCACCTAGCTAATTCCTCACTCCCAGGAGGTCTGATGCTTGTATGTCTCTCAAGTTGGCGATGCAAAATTCCCAGAACTCTAAGGGTTCCTGGCAGAAGAGAGAGGAGTGAGCACCACCCAGTTTGTTTATATAAACATTGCCATCATGTTGTCCATGACTCCCACACATCAGTACCCTGAAGATGGTTTTTGAATGCTTGGCATGCCAGCAGATTGGTCTCAACTCCCGCACACTGATGTGCAGAGACAATTCTACCTGCAACTAGGGATGTTAAAATGGAGTTAATTGACTAGTCAAATAGTCAATGGAATTTCCATCACCTACTCAACTAGTTGATAGGCACTTCCACATTCCTCCTTTGAAAAGTACAAGAACCCCCACTGGGGCTCTTGCACATTTCAAAGGAGGAATGCAGAGCTCTGCGTACGGCCTGGGGCCAGCAGGATGTCCCGCTGACTCCGGGCTGCACGTGGATGCCTGCTTTGAAATGTACAAGAGTCCCCAGCGGGGGCTCTTGTGCATTTCAAAGTCATGGAGCCCACAGTCAGCGGGGGACTGACCTTGCGTTCTGGAGAAATGCCGCTTGGAACCCGGGGTTAGCTGGGGAGTCTTCAGCTGACCCTGGGCTTCACGGCACTTTGGCGTTTTAAAGGGGCAGTGCTGCACAGTTGAGCCACAGATCAGCTGTGTAGCAGATGCCTCTTTGAAACGTTGCCTTGGGGTTTCAAAGTGGCAGCACCTAACAGTGGATCCCTGGCTCAGCTGTGCGGCGCTGCTGCTTTAAAGTATCCCTATTTGAAGTATATCACAGAGGCAATAAGGGAGGGGAGGGGAAGAGAAAAATCGACTAGTCAACAGACTACCCGATAAGCAAATGATTATTGTATAGTCAACTAGTCCTTAACATCTCTACCTGCAACCACAGGCCCTGGATTCTGATGCTGCCTAGATTCACTTCCCACCCCATGTTGATGCTTCCATGACCAATAACTTGGTAAGTTGTAGTTTTGCAAAGGAGACTCACGCACAGACTGCTTGTTGCTGTAGCCACCAACATAAAGACTGGAGAATGAGCAAGGGTAAGGTAACTATCCTGTCCAGTGGGTCTCTGCTGGGCTTGAAAACTTGTGCCAACCACATCTGGAAAGGTCTGAGACGAAGTCTGGTGTGTTGGACCATATATGTACACACTACCTTGTGGCCCAGTAACTTAATGCAGTTTCTTAATGGAGTAACTTAATCCAGGCTGTTGTGGGAAATTGTCAGATGTTCTTGATAATGAGAGGGTTTGGAAGCATGGCTCTAGCTGGAATGCCCTGGCTAGAGTCAAGTCCAACAGAGTTCCTATGAACTCTATTCTCTGCATAGGGACTAGAATAGATTTGGGAATGTTTAATGATGCCCAGTTTGAGGAAGGTGGCGCAGGTCAGTGATGCATGCTGTGCTGTTTGTGCTTGCTAGTGGGCTCTGATGATCCAGTTGACCAGGCATAAGAATACCTGAACCAGGTGCTTGCGGAGGAAGGCTGCTACACTGCCATGCATTTTGTGAACACATGGGGAACTGTCAATAGCGTGAAAGGTAGCACCCTCAACTGAGAGTGCTGGCTACTGACCACAAATTGTAGACACCATCTATGGGGCAGGATCACGGAAATGTGGAAATATGAATCCTTCATACTGAGGAAGGCGTACCAATCCTCCTGATCCAGGGAGACCATGAGGACAGGGGACTGGACTCGATGCCCTCTTGAGGTCCCTTCCAGTCCTAGTATTCTATGATTCTATGCAAAACCTCATTTTCTTGATAAATGCATTGTAGTCTCACAGATCTAGGATTGGCCTGCGCCCCCCTTTGGCCTTGGGGATCAGGAAATATCAGGAGTAAAACTTCTTGTTGCTGAACTCCTGAAGAACCTCCTCTATTGCTCCTACAGCAAGGGGAGTTGCTCATGAGAAGGGTTCCTAAAGACAGATTGGGAAGTGGGACCAGCGATCTGAGAATCTGGACCCAGGCAAAGTAAAAGTGGGATTGTTGATTCATGAAAGAAGGGTAAGGATCCAGACTAGGTTCTGGAGCTCCGCCCTTGGGTGCATCTTCAAAAGAGGAGCCCTGGCCTTAGCCTGAGGAGGAGTGTGGTTGGTGCCTCCTATCATTCCTGCCCCTCCTTCTATTTGGGTAGTCTACCCTGCATTCCTCTTTCAAGAGAGGAATGCAAATGCAGCCGAGCGAAATTGCAAATGAAACGCGGATTTGAATTTCCCGTGCTTAATTTGCATAATCGCGTCTGAACGCTATTTTGAAATACCCTATTTCGAAATAAAAATGCTGTGTACACGTGGTTATTTTGAAAAAACAACAACAACTCTTCTTTTGAAATAACCGTTTAACCTCAGTTTTTTAGGAGTAAGGATTATTTCGAAAGAAGGGGTTTCTTTCAAAATTACTGCGTCTACACTGTGTTTTTTTATTTCAAAATGGGGTATTTCGAAATAGCGTCTGGACTCAATTATATAAATGAAGCGTGGGAAATCCAAATCTGCGCTTCATTTGCAATTTTGCTTGGCTGCATTTGCATTCCTCTCTCGAAAGAGGAATGCAGTGTAGACATACCCTTTGGGGTCAGGAATAGAAACAGGCAGGGGGCTTGAAGGGCTTCCTCTAGAGCTCAGGAATTTGGATTCCTGGGAATGTTAACGTTGCCCTTGAATCTTTTAGGCTGTGCAAGAGGAAGTGACCTCAGCAAACAGCCCCACACAGTCAGAGGGCAGGTTTTGATTGGTGTTCTGGACCTCTGGGGGTGTATCCAACACCTATAACCAGACACTGCGCCTCATAGTGATTGCTAGCTGAGTCCAAAGCAGCTTTACTCCTGAGAAGTCAGGAGATCATCAGTGCTGACATATCCTGTGATCTGCAGTGCTGAGAAGGTGTCAGGAACAAGATCTGTACCAACTGCATACTGAGACCGACAACTCATCACTGGAACCACAAAACTAGACCATGGAGGGGCAGAGCCCTCTGGTTCAAGGGAATGATATTGCAGCAATGGGGAGCTGCACCATAGCATCATTGGCTTCCCTCTCTGCTGGTTCGGTGATAGTGCAGCCATTGGTGCCACAAAGGCAGAAAGTGCTGGAGCCATCATTGCTGATGATGACAATGCTGGGGCTGGGAGCTGGGCCAGGGAAAGTGCTATCAAAACTATTAGATCCCACGTGGCCTCAAGGTGTCAGGTGTCAATGGAAGGTTGATATCTTCCTCAAACTCCTCTCAAGAAGGGGAATCTAAGAGTACCAGACTCAATGGTACCAAGAGCTGAGGACCAGTCTGTGGGTGCCCTGATGCTGGTATTCCTGAACCAATCCCTATCTACCTTCTTTTTCTGATGCAGCACCAGGGACACACACTCCACACTGCCTTTTGAGCCAGGGAACGGTGCTGGTGGGAGGGATGCTTCTTCGGTGTTGAATCATCCTCAACGGAAGCCCTGCATACAGTTGGGGCTGTTGCTGCTTCCAATGTTGGCTGGGAGGGGGTGTGAAAGGGTGGCGCGAAGGGCTTCTTCCATGAAAAGGAGCTTGTACTGGCAGTCTCTCTCCTTTTTTCTAGATTTAAAGCTTCTCCCAAAGGGACACTTGTCAGTTTTGTGGTCCTCTCTGAGGCACTTACAGAATGAAGTGTGCAGATCGCCCTTGGGCATAGGCTTCCACAACTCTCATAGGACTTAAACTCTGAGAACCCACAGAAGCTCATGATATATTTGTTAGTCTCTAAGCCACCATAGGATTGCTCATTGGTTTTTGCATAAATAAGCAAACACTTGGCAAAGCAAAACACTACAACTGTTTCAGTGACAACCACAGACGGTAAGAAGGAATTGAGCAGGAGGCAGGTCAGCAGCCATAGAGGGGCTCCACAACTGACCACAAAAAAATGCCACTAGGGTAAAAACCTTCCAATAATCATACACTTAGTTTGCACGCACACCTATTAGAATGGACATAATCAATCGCTCAAAGAAGAATAGTGATAAGACCACTGTAACAAGGTCAATGCTGGCTACTTTGAAAATAAATTACTGTAATAGATTTAAAACTTGATTCATCACTTCCATTTTACACAAGTCTGACTGCACTAGGTTCAGTGGATTTACTTTTGATTTTCATCAAGTACACTAAGACAGCTTTGAGAAACTAGACTTGATTTAGAAAAGTAAATGTAGTATATGTGCATTTAAAAAATGAAACCAAATAATATTATGCATATTAAAAATAATTTTATAACATAAAACTCTACCTGTAAAATAGGAAATGTAGCATTGGTTATTCCCATATTGTGCAAAATGGTGAGCATTTCCTTTCCACTCCAAACTTTACAGGATGTCTCATATCCCCTTTCTTTAAGCTGACCAGAGCTTTCCTTTAACCAACTGCAAATGAAGAAAGTAAGAGTAATAGGAACTGTAAATTAACCATGCATTAATTTCAGTTATCTTGTATGATAGTTTCCAGGGAGCTCAGTTGAGTAAACTTCACAAATTGCACCATACTCCTATGATATTATAATAATTATTTCAACTTACTACCTTTAATCAAATGGTTGAGGCTTCTGCATTTAAGGTCTGATTTTGTTCTCCTTTGTAAGTTTTATACTTTTGAACTTAATTAACTTTAATTAGACCCACTTCTGATACAGGCTGGGGAAGTCTGAGAAAAATCTGTCTCTTAATTTTGCTATTCTCTCCCACCCATGTGTTTTTAACTTTATTTTAAAAGGGCATAACATACAACTTGTTTCTTTAATGTCTGAAGAATGTATAGGAAACATTTGTGTAACCTTGACCAATGGTTATGTGAAGCTATTAGGCTCTGTAATTGGTATGAATACAGAAAGTGTGACAACCTGCACCATACAGCTTATTGCTCTAGGTATTTCCCAGATTAGTTAAATCAGCCTAATTAAACCACATCTCTTGCCTCCTGTCTTTCTTCCTCCATGTCTGGAACCAAGAACATTATAAGCCACCTCCCCACTAGAGGAACTGGCAAACCCTTTCAAACGTAGGAAAGGGTACTAAAACAAGTGCTTTCCAGACTCAGATCTCAGACTTTTTTAAAAGGAATATAACATTTTTCTGGTCCCAATTTTTCTGGTATAGAAAGATATTAGTAATTATTGGTCATTCACACCCAGTCTCTTGTTTTCCACTCACTGCTTTCCCTGTAGTTGGCAGATTTGACAAGAGAATCAACCTGAGTTTTTCTGATAAGGTTAAAAAAGCTGGAGGCAGTCAAATCTCCAGTCTTGTAGCTTCCTCTTCTGCTAAGAAGTTTAACATTTAAAGACTCAACAAAGGAGAATTAGTAGCCACAGGGAAATTGCTGAGTCTCAGTAGCACACAAATATTAACCCTCGGCACCCAATGTAGAAGAGAGTGAAGTTGAAGATATACATAATCTCTCATGTAAACAGGAATTCCCTAAAAGAGCAACACTTCCTAGACCAATATTATAACAAAATGCTTGGCCCAAATATAATTGAAATAAGCTCAGTTATTGTAAACAAAGCCACTGATTTCTTATTTCTTATTGCATTTCCACTGTTTCTGTCCTTCCAGACAAGTTTCTGATGGAGACAATTGCTTAATAGGAATATTTGGACATGCACAGTGGGATACCAGTTATTTATTATTTATATTATATTAGCAACCACTATGTACAGCACTGTATAATTAAAACACAAAAGAAAATTAAATGGTGGCAGGTGGTGGAGCTTGGCTTCTTTTTTATTTATTTGACTTGTTCAACATCACATAGAAACTTTGTAGCTATAGCAGCAGCAGCAGCAGAAAAAATTCCATTCTCCCTTATAGCTCATTGGGAATTTTCTATGGAATAATTTTCTGACATAAAATTAGCTTTCTGAAAATGTTAAAATGTGCTGCAGGAAAATGTTAATATTCTGTCAGAATATCATCCACCTCTCCGTAGTCACAAGGTGTCCAGAGACTATGAAGGGAAGAGATGATGAGGTTTATAAAAAGGGAGGAGAGAAACTGAATAAAGAAGTGTTATTTATACCTTTGCATAACAGAAAAAAAATGGGGGTCACCCTATGAAATTAAGAGGCAGAAGTTTTAAGATAAACACAAGGAAGTAACTCTTCACACAATGCATAATAAACCTGTGGAACTCACTTCCAGGGGATGCTGTGAAGGCCACAAGTATAACTGGCTTCAAAAATAATTACAAGTGTTCATGAAGTAAAGAATCATAATAGCCATTAGCCAAGGAATGAATACAATCCCTTACTCTCAGTGTCCCCAACCCTCTGATTGCCATAAGATGGGCCTGGACAACAAGGTATAAATCACTTGATAAATTGCCCTCTTTTGTTCACTCTGAAGCATCTGGCATTGGCCACTGTCAGAAGATAGGATACTGGGCTAAACAGACTATCGGCCTGCCCTGGTATGACCATTTTTATGTTCTAGATTCCAGAAGCTGCTCCTAGCAGGTGAGCTGCTGGAAGTCTGGGCAGTCTTGTTGACAGGGTCCTCAAGACACCCAGATTATCCAGACAACTGTGGACACCTTGGAAACCCTTCTAAAAAAATAAAACACAAAAGTTACTTCTATTTTTTTTTCCAAAACAAAATTTTGGAATTTTTCAATGTCAAGAACTTTCAATTGTTTGTTCCATTTTAGAATGAGGTTTTTCCTTAAAATTTCAGAATTTCCCATAGAATGGCAATTCCAGTTACCAAATCAGCTCTGGTGGCATTCAACTGCCTTTACCACAAAACTCTGCTTTCTCTTCCTGCATCTCCCTGCTTTCATTAATCATAAATCTTCCAAATTCTGCAACAAATAAGGAAGAGGTTCTACAAGCAGAGCTTCATTCACTACACAACCATGACTCAAATCCCAAAGTACTATCCGTTCTGTGCACTAAACAGACAGCCCCTGTAAGGGAGAGGGAAAAAAAAAACAGTATTGCATAAGCAACCAGAATTCTGGCATTTCTTATCTTAAGTGCTTAACCCTGCAACCTTAGCATTCTTTCAATGAAGGAAATTTTAATTAAAAGCTTTTTTTTTTTTAATTATGCAATGTGGCTTCTAATACACAATATTAATAAAAAACTATATATAATCAGTAGTGTTGTTTTTTTTAATATAGGCCTTACTTTGTCAGACTGTAGCACACCGCCCGCAGGGGATCATGATCCTTCCGCCTAATGTTGTTGATGACCATCATATCAAGTTCTTCTCGAGCAAATCTCAGCTGAGTTTCTGTAACACTGTAACTGGCTGACTCTCGTGCACAATCTTCAATGTTATGAGCTTCATCTAAAATGACTATTTGGTCTTTTAGGTTAATCTCCATCTGCAAAAGACAACAATTTTCCAGTAAAACATAAAGCGATATACATAAATGAGTAACAACAGCCGACAGGTTCATCTTTTTTTTAAAAAATCGGTCCAGATTGTTTCAGTTGTGCAAGCAACAGGAAGTGATTTTTCAAGGTTTGATTGAATTTCTATCATGGAGGTATTAGCTAGATTTTTCACTGAAAACTGAAACCTGGTGCCAGCATAAACAACAGAATTTGATCCTTACCTGTAAATACTATGGGGACTGAGAGTTTGTAAAGTGTACTTTTATGGTTGAAATGTGATTTAATAAACAAAACAAAACAAAAGCATTTTCACTTTTTATGCCCTTCTGATGCCCCCATGCCTACTTTTTGTAGTTATGCCATCATAAAAGTTTCTTTTCTGTTGTGTGAAAAATCCACACAACTGATTAGTTACCATGGAAAACCAATGAAACTGACTGTTATCTGAGGTACTATCATATGATCAAACTAAGGAAATTGCAGAATAAAAGAAAAATATTCTTTAATCTCTTTAATTTAGACATTACTTGCATCAAGAGCAAGAACTGAAACAGGAGTGTGGTTTTAAATGGACCGTGTCTCTATCACATTCTTTATTCATTTTACTTTACCTTCAGTCAATGCAACAAACAAGATAGAGGGATTGTCTATTCTTTCAACATTGCTGTGGCACTATTGTAGTACTTAGTGAAGATACTATTTGGGCTGATGGGAGAGCATAGACACCCATCTTCCCAAGAGGCAGTAGCAATGTTGATAGGAGAAGCCCTCTAATCAACACAGCACCATCCACAGCAGGGGATAAGTCGGTATAAATATGCTGTGCAGGGGTGTGGATTTTAGTTACACGGATATATGTTCCTAGTTTAGACAAAACTCTACATACATACATACATACATACATATATATACTTACACTCTCTCTTATTTGTGCATCCAGCAAGTAGTTGTAAGGACAAAATACAATATCTGCCCCCACCATGAGTTCTCGAGCTGCAAAATAGGCACATGCACGTAGCTTCTTTCCCAGGCTCACCAGATCTTCTATGTCCCAAGCCTGACACTTCTTACGTGCGAACTGTAGAGCATGATGTTCACTAAGTTTATGGACACCATGGTAGTAAACACAGGAGCTGCCCTAAAAGTAAGTTGTGATTTTGAAAAAAAAAATGTACTAAAAAACAATGGTGCAAATGAACTTACATTTTTTGTAAAAACACAGAAACAAAAAAACCCTAATTTTGCAATTTTTACTTCACCTCTATCACTGTGGTATACTGTAAAAGTTAGTTATATTTTGGACTATAACAACAACAAGTATAATGCCTGAAACAAAAGTGCATTTTAGAATTTTGCCCCAGTGAACCCAAAGAAATTTTTAAGCTATTTTACAAATAGCAACCTGGCAGTGGAAAAGGATGAGAGAAATTCCAAATAATGAACAATTAATTAATAAATACAAATACATATGATTAATATAATTAGGAACCACAGAAAATAACATAATATGGCACATTCGCATCCACCTACCAGTATATCAACAAATTACCAACAAGAAATGTCTAGTGAATTTAAACCATATTTGCATCCACCTGAGCTTGTTCATTTGCTTATGTCTCCACTGTGTTGATAGCTCAGGAGGGTGTCATTAACAATCAAAGCAAATAATAGCGGCTCTGCTCATGACTTTGACCGCAGTCCTTCAGGTCCTAAGGTATAACTGAACTACTATCATTTCTGTTCTACTCTGAGTATAATTTAAAAAAAAAAACTATAAAGCTAGCTGCTGTGAATTCTCTCTTTTCTTCTATGAACTTTTAAGTAAGCAAAACTACAAGAAGGGAATAATCCCTGGAAATATATACTTTAGACTAGAGGCAATTAAGGCCACCTAGTCATACATAGACTGATAACATGAACAGGAAAGCCCATCTCTTTTTAATAGTGTAACACAACCCTAAGGGGCAAATTGTCAGTTGAAGTGTTATCATACTTACTGCCTTTTCGCTCACAAATTGTCAGTTATCAACTCACTTCTATAATACAGTCTTGGTTAACATAGACACCTACAGTAACAGGTAATTGGCTCTCATTACCACTACTACTTACCCTTACGGCCTGGGAACATAAAAAGCAAATGCTCACTTATACTTGATGAATGCAAAGTAAACTTGAAGCCCCAACAAGACGACAAAACAAACTAGGTACTGTATGACCATATATCCTTCAAAACAATATGCCATTGGGACAACAAAAGCTGTTTCTATCAGCTTATTTGCTTTAAAAAAAAAAAAAAAAAAAAAAAAAAAAAAAAAAGAGTCTGAGCTGTACATAAGAAACCAGCAAAGAACTTTTACTGGATGAACATACTCACAATTATTAAAACCTTTAACTTAGTATTTTTGGCATATGGCTCTGAATTAATCTTCCAACTTTTATGATCAATGTATGTGTGATGCTGAAATATATTAAAAGTGACCAAAGGAAACAAAAAATGTGCGTTCTTTTTCAACTTCCTTACAGGGAAGGCAGCTGGAAAAAAATTCTACTTGCCTCACTACTATCAGTATCAAGAGGTTTTGTTGCAGGGTTTTTTATGCTTTCAGAAAACTGGAATGAGAGTTTCTCAGCTCACAAATGAAATAATAGGAAAGGGAGGGATTGAAACCTGCACAAAAAACTTTTCTTTTAAGTATTTGTCAGCGCTTGAACTAATATAAAATGCTATAAAACAAAACGGTTTTAAACAGTGATCTAAAATCCCATCTCCACTCAATTTCTTAAGGTTTAGTCTCGTTCAATCCAACATACAGCCAAGGCAACTATTTTCTTATCCTCCACCAAAACCAGGAAAACCTGATATTTCTAATGGGAAAAGAAGCAGAAACACAGTACTTTTTGGAACAGTCATTTCAGGACCTCAACATTCACTATGACGCAGCAAAAACTGGGTTATTTTTGTTAGGCTTTGCAAATTACCTGCAAATCCTAAATTTGGTTAACCAAGATGACAAACACATTATGTTATCATCAATAAAGCTTATACCATAGGGTGAGCAACCACAATGTATCTCTGCTAGCATCATTAGCAGATTATTTGTTCAGGATTTGTGGCAAGTTATTCGCATGAAAAATGCTCTAATTACTATGTCCATAACACATGGAATTAAGTCCCTATCCTCTTAATTTTGAACAAGCAGACAGTTTGTTCCAACTATAGAATTACAATGATTTTCCCCTCATGCATTCTAATAATCTTCAATGCTCAGATACTCTAAATAAAATCAAAGAATAAGCAGAGAGAAATCAGAGAAACTGACTATTTAAACATTTATCAGCATATTTTGCTTTTAAAAAGAAACAAGTTTTGAGAAAGCAAAGGTTATTGCAATTACAGTTAAGCTCCCAAACTGAAATTGTGATCATATATTGTCATCCTCTAATATGCTTTTTACATATTGATACTGTAAACCAAGATTTACTGAAGATTAATGGTCTAATGCAAAATGAATTAGAAGTTACAAAAGAGTTACTAACCAGTGTGCCGTAAAGAAGTTAGAATGTTACTTAATCCAACTGCTCATAATGAACTCTCATTTTCTGAAACAAAACTACTCACATTTTTTCCTTCCAGCAAGTCTACACATTTTTCGTTCCTGTTACTACTACTGGAAACCACTGGATGAACGCAGGTATGATCCCGGCTAGAAAGAATTGTCATACGGACACTGGAGTACACTGTCCTTCGCAGCTCTCTAGTAATCTGAGCTATTTGCTTGTGTGTTCGGGTTCCAAAAAATATTTTGGGGATGTGTGGCTTTCCTCCATTTTCCTTCCTCTTTGCATTACTAACATCTTTAGTGTTTTCTTTTGCAGAAGAACAGGAACACTGTGTGCAGGGGCCAGGAGACTGTAACCAAAAAAGGAAAGTTTATTAGGATATTACTACTGCAAATTGCATATACCAAATCTCAACACTGACTCCTGAGAGTTTTCCTCTAAAATGGTTCAAAACCTCTAATTAGTTAATCTGTCAAACTATGAATATTGGACTCATGTTAAAAGTATTTATGAAATGTTGCAAAATCTCAAAATTGAGAGTCGCCGTGTAATTAAAAAAATCGTCATAGAAAACACACTACCTCAAGGGTGAAAAAAAAGTGATTACCAAATTCTCCCTCCGTTCTTTTCTTTATATATTCTTTTCAGGTCAGTATAATATTTTCCAGGTTAATATGCCATTGCTTTAAAAAGTTTAAATACAAAATTCAATACCGAAGTTTATGTACATTCTTGATTATACAGTCTATTAATTTGACACACAGAAAAGTTTACTGGTTTTGTTCATTGTCTCTCCAGTATTTACTCAACTCAACTCAAGTTCTATGCCAGTAAAACAACATTATTTTGTACATGATGTTTTAATTTATTTATTCCTGTGGGCCAAAAAAGAAAAAAAAAAACCTAATTTTTACCGTGAGTAAGAAAAGTTCTTCTACTTTAGGTTTATTTTCTGTCACCAAGCACGGGCAATTGCCTCTGATTTACTTGTGACAAATTATTACAATGAAAAAACCCAAAGTTTTGTAGCAAGTTATGCAGGACACCTACTGCTGGGAGTTCCCAGGCTTTAAGAACTGAGTCAAATCATATTATACAAGAGACATATGCTGTCTTCAAACCAGATGGCAGCTTTTGTTTCATAGCAAATAAATGAAGAAAAAGTGAGAAACATTAAGGTGGGGGGAAAGGATTGTTTATTATACAAGAACGTCTATACTGACTGCCAGCTAAAGGAAATCACTTTTCCATTGAGGGCTTGGACCCTATAAGGTACTGACTACTCTGGCCTCAATCCAGTAAAGCACTTAAGCATGTGAATAGTGCAACTGAAGTCAAAGAGACTTCTCACATACATACATACATTTAAGCATGTGCTTAAGAGCTTTGCTGGATCAGGACATGAGTTTGCAGCACCTTTTAGGATCAAGACCTGACTGGGCAAGCAAATTAAAACTAATACTGAAACCTTTGTTTTAATATTGTTTCATCTGCAAATAAAATTTCACTAACCTGGCTTCAAAGCATATACTCCATTACTAATACACTCATCATGGTGTTATGCCATTAGTCAATTCTAGTGAATATTCCCATTTTGCCTTTCGAGTTTCACAATTCTTTACTAACAGAACTGAATCCAGGAAAAATATTAGGAACAAAAGGACAGCTGGTCTTTTCTCCACTCTTGATTATTGTGTCACAGAGAAACTCATCCTCCTCAGTCTCTTCCACAACAAACTATTGGGAAGGCTAATAATTCGGATGCAAATAGATGATACAAAGAAAATGTTAAGACACCTGTAAGAAGAATAACTTGTCTGTAAAAACACCTGCAACAGTGAAAAACTGACCAGCAAGTTTTAATAGTGTAAAATAGTTTGTGCTTGGTTTTTCATGTGATGTGCAAGTAGCAACAAACTCTACTTGACAGCTGAAAGTTTTTCCCTGTTTTTAATTGATTATCCTTCATAAACAAATGCTAAGTCATGACATGTGCTATACCACAATACTGGGGATCAAGCTGTCTCTTACCCTCCACTCTGTGGAAAAGCAAGTTCAAATTACCCCGAGTCCCACTCAACCTTGTCCACCATTAAATATTACAATACATGATAGAATGGATGTAAATGTGACCCTTCTGGAGCTGTCACTCACTGGGATAAAAGGTTCACTGATGTGCCAAATAAACAGGCCGTCAAAGCAGATAAAGTTACAGCCATGCTGGAATTGTTACATTCCCCTCTCAGGTTGCCAGTAACAGCAGATTTCATTACGGTGTGCTGCCACATTAAATAGCCAGTTCCAAATATCCTGACTTCTATATTGAATAATTACTTATTCACTGAAAGGATAAAAAGAAGAGAGTTATGAATGGGTCTCTTGTCAGCAGCGAAGCAGGAAACAGCTGACATGTGGTGTATGTTACATATGTGGCAATATCCGACTCAGTTTATACTCTCAGAAAATTGGAATGCAAATTATATCTTGATATTTTGAGATATATTCTAGTTTGGTCTTTGAAATAATGACATTTATTAACATGCTAAGAGAATTAATGTAAATAAGTTGCAGAATCGATTTACTTTTGCTTACTGTGCAGACCTTTTTGCTCATATCTATCCCTTTCATTTGAATTCATTTTTCCCTGCTCAGAGATGATGCATTAATCTTTTAAGGGACAATAATACAAGGCCTAAACATTTACTTTACTAAATGTAAATTTTAGAGACATCTAGACCAGTACAACAACAATTTTCCAAAGCACAGAAATATTTACTGTCCTACACTGTACTTATACAATTCAGATTATTAGAAAATGCAATTCATATTCTTTATGTACAACACCAACTGTGGTAATTCCCGCTACTGTATATTTGGAGGGAAAATAAAATTTTAAGAAACTTTTTATTAAAAAGATTTTAAAAGGTAACATTAAAACCACACTGCCTATGTGTATGTGGGGGTATATATGAATTACAGTATTTTACAGTTGACAGTTTTTCTTTAAAAAATTGAATTGTACATAATACTGGCTTTAAGAAGTACTTCACTCACGACTACAGGTTTTAAATGTTACCTTTTATGTAAAAAAAAAAAAAATCAACATCAGGAAAGCGGTAAACTCAGGCTGATTTTATAGTAACCAATAAAAGCATATAACTACTTTGCAGTAGTCATAACATTTCTGAAAGCCACAGACGCCATCTGCCCCTCCTCCCCAAAAAAATCCCACTTGAAAAAGGTGCCTATATAACAAAAACCAAAATACACACCCCCACACCCCCACAGCAAGCTCTTATTTTAGATGGCGAGCCCTTTATTTGCTTTAAAAACTGGAGTTTCACACTTTTAAATGCTTTTCCCCGGTTATATCTTTTCCCCAAAATGTCTTTCAAACACATTAAAAATCTGAAAGTGAATTTAAGTGCCTATTGGTTAGGCATTGACAAATGAGGAAGCACTTCATAAAACAATTAAGCTTTGGGTTTCCATGAGCTGCATGATAAATGGGTTAAAATAAACAGCATACAGATCAATCAGAAAAGAGGACTGTCTCTTTTAGGCAAACTGTTCTTCAACTCTGCAAGTACTATGAATTTATGACCCAGCTGCATATAGTTACTTCATTTAATTTAATGTGGGCTGTATTTTTACTTTTATTTTCTCAAAACACATTTTTAGTCAAAACATTCAGTTAATCTAAACCTAACTATTAAATAAAAAGACACTGTTCAACTTGTTCATGCCCTCAACATTTGCTTTTTTTGAGGAAGATTAGTTTGGGGCAAAATTCCTAGAGGATGCACTGCATTCATGATATTTATATTTAAAAATAAATTATTTGGGGTTCCTGAGCAATACATATTTATACTTTTGTTGCTGAGAAACCAAACAAGCCTTTAAAAATAAAGAGAATCTAAATGTCATCATAAAAAAAGTTATGGTTTGGAATTTAAGCATGCTAGGTTTCTGGTAGACCATAAGGTAAAGAAGTGTCCATCTTATGACTTAAGACACAGTAAATCAACAAATATCTCTGGAAATCAAACTTCATAAAAGGAGGAATAATTAAGGCAACAAGATGATTAAAGCAGTACCTTCTCCTTCACGCTACACTACATCATGCAATAGTCAGTCACGGAACTTCCGGCAAAGATTTTCTTTCTTTAAAAAGTAAGTTCAATCAAATATGAAATATTTGCACTTTTGAACATTTTCATCTGTAATGCTTCGGGTTCTAAATGTCTACAGCAGAAGCCATTTATAGCACAGTAGTTGCAACTTTGCATAATTTAGGACATTACAGTCTCCCATTATTGTAGAAAAAGGAAAACGATACCCTAGTTACTTTTCACTATAAGAGGTAATAATTGCTATCTAGTTAGGAAGTACTGCAGTAAAAATTATAAATCTGAATTACAAGAAGGAGAGGTGCTTGCTAAGCTGCAATAAAAGTATCTGTCATTTCTTTTAGCGTAACTGAAAAATAGTGAGGAAAGAAAGTGACCTTGTATATTAAAACTTATTTTACTAACAGCTCAAATTTGTTAACTTCAGGGCAAGCTTGTTAACCACGAGACCCATGTTTCTCTCTCTATTTGGCAGGAAGTTGGAGAAAAGATTCAAATGGTACTGCCATGGTTCAGTTTTGTTCGATTTATGTTGCCGCCACAGTAGTGCTCTTGAGTTTCTTAGAAATTGCATGGCCTATTATTTTATTTTGATTGCAAACTCCCTGAAACAGGAAGCACGTCTCCTGCATGTGAACACAGTCTTGTACATCAGAAGTGTTCAGTAAGTAATCTTCTCCTGAATTTCCCAAATCAGATAGGACCTATTTTGGGTTTTAAATCTTTTTATGAAAATAATTCTTAGATAAACAGTTACTGGAAAAATAAGTGTAATAGTTGGGATAAAGAAAAACATATTATCACTTCATAACTCTCATTAGACTATTTAGAAATAAAAGCAACATTTTTAAAGAAAAGATGGCCAACACCCAGTTTCTCCATAAGGTCCTCTTCCATGCTATGAAAACTGCCAAGTTCACCCAGAAATGTTAAACATGATTGTGCTCCATCTGTGTTACTGTTTGGTCCACAGAGCTGAACTGATATATCACTGGTTTAAAAACAAAAAACAGTGATTTAAGCAAGGACATTTTTAAATAACTGGTTATAACACAGTTTGCCTCCATCCATACTGAGTTAAAAAATAGTTGAGCTAACAACTGTTTATACCATCTATGATTAAATTTTATCATTTTCACTGTGTAAAATTTAGCAAGATTCTAAGGGATTGGATATTTATATAGATACCAAGCATTTCCAAAATTATAGTAGTTAACAC